GACATAAACGATGATAAGAATGATAAGATGATAAGAATGCAATGTTATATATATGTAGTTTCAAAAACTCATTTTTTCTCTTCATGGCAATTGCAATGGTTTATTGTTTCCTCGTAATAAATAAAGTTTCAAAAATGTAACAAATATATAATATATTTAATAATTAAATTTCACAATTCAGAAATAAATTCTTAAATGTGTCTATTAATGATTCAAATGTAAATGTTTTTCGAGCACTATTCGTTAATCCATTTATTAAAATGCAACATAAAAAACATCAATACATTGATACTTTGTAACACATAGTCAAATTTGAAAATAAATATTTAAAATATAAATCGTAATTCTCTGATAAAAGAGTCATAAATAATTTAGAGTTTACGTTACAACTTATAATGCAAAAAATATCGGGAGTTGCGAGGCAACAGGTTTGATGATTGATTTAATTTCTCATGAGATGCAACACACATACACACACACACACATATATAAAACACTTACGAGGCCGCCTAGTCGCGATGAAGAGAAGATGTCTCGCCAGCATGTCGAAGTATCGTCGCGACTGAACGTGCTGGGAATCGTGAATCGATTTACAACCGCGCTGTTCTTCCGTCTATCAACAGCCCCGGCGACTGTCTGTCTAGCGACAAGGTCTCCCCGTTTTTACACCGATAACGTCTTATCATCGCGCCGCGCTAAAAACTCGATTTTGTTTCGCGGCGAGTCATCCGATCGCGGCTGACACAGAAGATCTTTCGATCTTTTTCGGGAAAAATCTTCCTCGATCTCGCGGACTTCGATGTATGCGAATTTTTAAAGAGAAAAGTAATCACGATAGATGTGTGATAAAAAGGTATTACAAGGAGACGTGATTAGAGGCGATGATGACGACTCGAGGAGACGTGGCCCTTCGTTTTCGTAAAAGTACAAGTTAATTTCCTGCGGCACCGCATTTTGCCGATCGACACTTGGAGTCGCAATATTTCCGAGCGAATCTAAGAGGAGAACTTCGCGGATGAAGGACGAATTGTTTGGCGATTCGATCGACCGGATCGGAGCGCACTGAAGGCGCCGGAATGCGCACGAAAGTATTTCAATCCTCGCGGTGGGGATTTTTGTTTATCGGCACCCCGGCTATTATCGTGTCGGGATAAATATCACGTCTGATGCAATTCGCATTGCTTATTGAGCCAGCACTTATTGATGCTGATAAAGGCTAACAAAGTAAAGTCTTTACTGGGAGACTCGTGGGAGTTTTCCAGCAACTCGCTGAAAATTTCCTACTCACCCTCCCGTTGCGATAATTTTCCATTGTCCCTCTTGTGTCGTGACAAAAATTTGAAATATTTCGTGACTTAATTTTCACGTGGAATTTGAATAAAACTAATGTTTATAATATATATACAGGGTGTCCCGTTTTATTTTTGTCAGTCAAATATCTCGATATCACGTAGCTTTAGAAGAAAATGTTTCAGACAGAAGTTGTATAGTTTCAAGGGGGACATAAGATGGTGGCAATGATTTGACCTTGGATAGTCATTTGAAAGTCACGTGAAGGTCACCTTCAATTTCTTAAACGGAATCCCCTATTTTTCATTTCATATTCTTGTACCTTACCTCGAGAGCTTTTCAAAACACTACAATAAAATATTTTTTCATTAAGTACTTTTTGAGTTATTTTATATTTTAATCTGACATATTTTGATATGAAAAATAAAATATCTCGTAAAATATTTAGTTTTCGATAATCTTACTATAATACTTTTATGTACAGAATAATGAGACAAATCAATTAGTGTAAAAAAAAAAAATAATTTAAAAAAAAAATACATTGTAAATAATTACATACTTTTTCTTAAAAACAATTTTTTTTTTATACTAATTGATTTGTCTCATTATTCTGTACATAAAAGTATTATGGTAAGATTATCGAAAACTAAATATTTTACAAGATATTTTATTTTATTATTATATCAAAATATGAGGTAAGCTACAAGAATATGCAATGAAAAATAGAGGGTTCCATTTAAGAAATTGAAGGTGACCTTCACGTAACCTTCAAATGACCAAGGTCAAATGTCACCATCATATGTCCCCCTTGAAACCATACAACTTCTGTCTGAAACATTTTCTTCTAAAACTACGTGATATCGAGATATTTGACTGACAAAAATAAAATGAGACACCCTTTATATTATTAAATATGAATAAAAGTTTAATTAATCGAATAAATCTTGTGTAATATTATTAAGATATATAGATCTCGCTGTTATTATTAATTTTAATCAGCAATAGTCTAATTTAAAGGAATAATATTATTGTATTATTTTAAATAAAACAAGCTATTTAGCGTGATCAAACCAAAAAGAAAATTCAACTAATAAAATTTCATAATTTCTTGCATATTATTTATATACATATAAAGGAAGATAGTTAACGATGAAAAATTGGGAAAAGTTTTGGAGAAAGTTGGATAGACATGATTTTTTTGTTTCAGCAGAAATTTGTAAAAATTGATCATTATAGATCGTCAGAGTATATTGTTCGATCTTGTTGAGCGTGGTGAGAGTTCACCAATGAAACTATTGAACTCTAAAATATTCCACGCGGGAAGATCGTCGTTTGACGACAGAAAACTCGGTGTTTATCTCGTCACAATACATTAAATACACCCTGGGGATTGTCTCGTCTACTCGCGGTGGGAAAGATCGGACGCGAGTGTCAGAGATAAGGGAAAACGTGATCGGTAATGCCGCGTTTCCCTATCCGTATCTTTGTTTGCGCGCGAAAAAGAATGGCCGATCTTGCTATCTCGCGACTGCCGGTCGAACGGTTCGTCCGTGGGTCCCTGCTCTCTCAGCTGATTCGCGAGAGTGACATACTAAACCCCGATCTGCCGATTCCGTGTTTTGCATAAATGCGCTGCAATCGGCACGCATGTTGATATCTTCCCCGCGACTTCTCGCTCTAATTATATCTGATTAGACCTTGATAATCTTTTTCTCTCTCATCCTCCGATCTATTTTACGCGATGAGATCTTGCTGTTGTTATTTAACAACGGAATATCAACATCTCGACTCGTAGAAATCGTTCTCCGTCAGAGTTATCACGTCAACGTGGACCTTTGACAGTAAAAACGCCGATTTTCGAGATATCGTGTACTTGCTATATAACAAAAACTTGTAACATTATATATTCTAATTTCAAGGAGTAATATTCCATTTTAACGATTATATTTTCTCGAAGTATTTTCTTTTCGAAAACGTCGAGACATGTTCACAAATATTAAATATTAAATATAAAATTAAATATAAAAAATATTAAATTAAAATATCAAAAAAATACAAAAAACTTTTTAGAAATAAAAATATTAATTTTCCAAATATTGGAACTTTTGCCGTATAAGAACAATTTATGTTCTACTATATTTTATGTATAAACTTTTATATTCTTCGAAAATAAATATATATGAAAAAAAAAATTTAAAGAAATATTAATATTTAAGAAATATTAATTTTTTAAGTTAACAATCAAGATATATTTAATTAATTAAACTAATTAATTGCTAACTATTATTCTCGTCGAAAAATAAATTCCAGAAAATATTCTAGTACATATGTACTCAGTGCCGTTCAGCCATAATAAAGCTATATGGCGTTATCACTCTCTTCAAGAGCGTGTAATGATCATTTCCGATTGAACTCGCCGCTCGCGTCCATTTGTTTTTCTAAATGCGACTTGACTTATGTCAGAACTTGCAGCAATCACGCCTATCATCTCGCTATGTTCGCTTCGTATCATTCACATAACAAACTCACAATGTTTTTCTAGATTTCTATATCGTTAACAGAGTAGATACTTCAATTATTTCAAAAGGATTTCATTAGCTGAGCCTAAGTTTTGAAATCTGAAATCCTTGTTTTCATCAACCTTGATAAGATAAAAGCGGGAATCAAGTTATTAATTTTATCGTTGCAGCTTCACAATATTGCAAAAATAATTGTTGAATTGATAACGCGTTATCGTGACATTTTCTACCAGATTTCCGTATCGTTACTAGAGTATTTGAGCACTCTAGCCGGTTCTAAGTCCGAAGCTCTCGGTCTAGGACTAGTCGGCATCGATTGGATAGGTATGGAAGTAGCCGTTAGCTTCGTGTCGAAGGTCACGTTGCTATTGACCCGCGGCTCCGGACTAGAGACCGTTTCGGGATAGTTGATCCTCTCTCTCAGCAGCTCTTCCTGGAGCTCCTCAGAGGGCGTCCTGCAGATCTTGGACGACTTCTCCGCTTGGCTGCTCGTAGAGAACTTCTTGATGAACATGATCGGACTGTTCGCCATGCGGTAGCTTTCGCTACGTTTCACCTTGCGATCCACCCTATCGCCAGATCGCGTCGGATCAGACTTCTTTTTCGCACTCTGATTATCTAATTCCGCGGGATCGATCGTCACGTTTTTATCGCTATTTTCGAAATCATTCAATGTATTCTCTTCGATTATATCTTGACTATCATAATCGGTTCTCTTTCTACAAAAGCTCGGAGTATCAAGATCTGAGACCAGTAATTTCCTATTTAACTTAGGCGTGTTGCCGGTTACTTTCAGAATTTTTGGATAGGAACCCGATTTCTCAAAGTCCAGTCGCGAATTTGCAGAATTAAGGACGACAGGATGATTGACCTTGGACGGAGCGATCGTGCAAACGCTCGTTTCGTGAGCGTTACCATTGTGTGCCGGAGGATAATTCTCATCATGATCGGATTTGCGCTTTGTTTGCCTATCTACCTGCGAGCCGCCGTGGCAGATCCTAACTTTATCTACAGGTTCGTTCGGCTCCGGGAGTTTGTCGCTCGACGCAAGAGCGAGGGTTGGACTGTCAGACGGCCGCCTAGTGCACTCGTCGTTAGTGCGCAATGCAGGAATGATCGCAGTGCGTGGTGCTTCTAATCTATCGGTGCGGCCGGTGCAATCGCGGTGCTCGTCAGTGCTGGACGTCTTACCTTCGTCGCCTTGCACGTTGACGTAAGCCCCGCGGAACTGTCTGTGGGGACTGGTCGGGTTTGTGGGGCCGACCACGGTTGCCGGCGTGCGCACGTAATCCGGACTGGCCGCGCGATCCGGACTCCGCGCTGCTCGAATGATCAGCTTGCCCAGCTGAGGGGATGTTGGCGGCGTGGATGTTCGGACGCTCGAACCGTCCACGGTATCGCCGGTCTTTGTGACGGCGCGGACGTTTGGCGTCGCGCGATGAAGCAACGGCGACGGGCTAGGTGATATTCCTTCCCTCACAAAAGGGCCTGAAAAGTGACGCGTTGCATAAAAGCATAAAAACGTGTAAAAATATTAATATTTTGAGAAAAATCTGTGAGCTCAAGTTAAAATCTTTGATTGAAGATTTTTATCACGATAAACTGCACTAAACAAAACAACATCGAATGATTGAAGTAATACCTGGATTAAACGTCGTGTGTGCTCCTTTCCTTCTTTTTAAACTATCGGATGAATAGACGACTTTGCCTTCGGAATCCAAAGTAACTCGGGCGCCCTGTCTTTTCCTCTCCAATGACGAGTCCGGTTTCTTCGGCAATTCGCTTAGACTCACATACTCAGCGTCTCTTTTGAAGATGTCGGAATTAGCATAGGTAACGGTAGGTCGGACGGTGGTCATGCCTGATGACGATGATGACGATAATGATGACGAAGACGAGGGCAGGCCCGCGGGACGCTTGTCGTTGTTGTTCCTCACGTCGGCTATGGTCACATAGTCGCCGGAGTCTGCGTTTGACAGCTCCTGCACGGCGCCGTTCTTCGTGGCGTGCTTCTTGCCCGGAAGTACGCCGCGAAGCTTTCCCAGGACACCGCTCAGCGGACTGATCTTGATCGTCGATGATGACGACGATGACGATTGACTCGTCGTCGCGATCGGTCTGTCGTTGTTGGCGACTGCTGGCAACACCTGCACGGTGGCGTACAGATTCTTATCTTGGCCGTTGATCACCTCCATCTTGGAAGTGCCGACGGTGGCGGACATCAACACTGATCCGCCGCTTTGAAGGCCAATTCTTCTCGACGATTCAATTGTTTTCTTCTCGCATTGGTCTGTCTCTCTCGCGTGCTCGTCGTCGGACACTGGTGGCGTGATTACGCACATCGAGGGAATTCGGCTGGTCGTGATCGCCGTCTTCGAGCGGATCCTCTCGATTCGCTCGCAACCCTCCAGATCGCTGGACTCCGAGTACTCAAACTCGGAGCATGATCGACCGGTGCAGGCAGGACTCGAGGCGGATTCAACGGGAGAAGAGGACGTATTGTGACCACTATCGGGTGATTCGCCGCCGTTTTGATTTTGACCGTGAACCTGTTAAGAAAATAAAATTAAAATAAGCTAATGGATACTAGAACTGAGAACTTCGATTAGAGGAGTATTGCAATATATTGTTAACAAAATTAATACAATTTATATATATAAATATTATGTTATCTAAAACCCAGAGTTTGCTATTTGATATGAAGTATTTAAATTTATCTCAGTTTGATAGAATTTTTCTTATTGGTTGCAAAGATGCTCAGTTTAATTTCTTGTCAGATTTAGGCTAGAACATTGAAGTTTAAACTTACCATAGCAACAACCGTGAGGCTGGATTTGCGTTCCGGAGGTGGTGGTGCCATAAGCGCGGTGCAAACTGTTCCGGCTGAGCTAGTCGTTGTAGAAGTTGATCCTCTGCCAAACAGTTCGTACTCGTTCTCAATAACTGGCGAGGTAGGGTCCGAACTGATGTCATTAGACTTGATTAAAGGACTCTGCGGCACCAGTTCCTCCTCCCTGAGCGTTTTGAGACCTGAATCCATGTGGAACGAAGTATAATATCCTTCCGTATCGCAGGAGTACACCGACGACGTCTCACCGTCGTCGGAGAAGGGCACCACCGTGATATCCTGTATGATATCCGGGGTTAAGGTACCTTCGGAGGTTACCGAGGACGAGGCCGAGGTGTCTCTTCCCTTGAGTCGCCTCATGTGACTTAAGGAAGTGGAGGACGTGCCAATCGAAGCTGTCGTCGTGGATCTGAAATAATATATCCGAAATTAAACAGAGATGCTCATCCTCTCTCTAATTGAGAATCATCCTGGTGAAAATTCTTTGGTCCGAAAAATTTTGGGACAAATTCCAAAATTGAAGTAAACGTAATTGAAATTTAATTGAACCTTGTATACAAATTTGGATCATTTTTGTAATAGATTATAAGAGTGTCATTCCATCATCTAAGCAATTTCCGTTTAGATACTTCAAGATCTTTCCATTACCTGGGTTGATGCGTAGTAGTGGTGGTCTCGCTACCTATGCTGGCCCTTCCGCTCTCGGACGAGGCGCTCCAGTTCCCGGAGCTCGAGTGCGGGGCGTCGTCGCGGTTGCTGCCCTTCCGCCGCTCTCTTCTCTGAGCGGCGCTCTCGCGTAATTTCACGCTCGGCTGTTTGTTGTCCGTGCTCGGCACCGACACCGGTATGCTCGCCGTGCTCTTGCCGCTCGAGCTGGACGAGCTAGGCTTCCTTTCGTGCGATTTATCTCTCCTGCGTCTCGTGGTAACCGTTTCATAGATGTTGATCTCCTCCGGCGATCTCGTCTGACCTTGAGCTTGCTCGCATCTTTCCGCCGCGCTGATCGTCGTCGTAGTTTCTTGCTGTTGCTGACTCGATTTTGGACTGATCAGTTTCAATCTGGACATGCCCCAAGCTTTCAGCGTATTAAAATGCGACTTCTTTTCCGTGGGCGAATCTTTCTTCGTGGCGCCCAGGATGTCCGTGCTCGCCGAGCGATGAGCTCTTGTCGTGGCGCTTGGCACCGTCTCCTCGGGCTCGTCGCCAGTCGGTTCCCTGTCGGCGATAAATAATGTCAACGATGCGAAATGATGTAGAGTGCTGTAGCTGGCCCGATTGGCGTTTCGAGGAGCAAGAGAGAATTATGCGCAAGGGATTGGGCCATGATTAAAGGGACTAGGTAATCATATTTGTCGAAAGTGAAGTCTTTTTGGGGGAATTTATTACAAAAAAATAAATTAAAATCGAGAATTGTCCTTCTAAATCCATCCTAATAAACATTTTGTTAAAGGACAATTCTCGATTTTAATTCACTTTTTTGTAATAAATTCCCCCAAAAAGACTATTTTCGACAAATACGATTGCCTAGTCCCCTTAATTGGGTAAACCGCGATATACGGTTTTGTACGACAGGTTTGTTATCTGCATATATTTTAATTTGATATGCGAATCGAGTCACCAGGACTCGTGGGAGGTCCCGGGTCCATCGCGGGAGATTGCGCGCGCGATATCGCGCGACAGTGATAAGGAAATGATCCGCGAGTATTATCGCGGCAATGGAAGTACAAAGGTAGAGTTATGGGAGATTCTTCGTGCTTGGACGACTGCGAAAATATGAGCGCGCTTTATCGAGCGTGACAAATCGCCGATTCTTTACGAGGTATGGATCTTCGGAACCGCGTCCATCTCTCTATGAATAACAAAATTGCTACGCGATAAGATGGATCCGAGTAAAATATACTCCTTTCTCTTATGCGAGTATATTATATTTATTACGTCGTAAAAGTTGTAAGGATAAAACATCCGGTGGATGATCTATTAATCTTTTCAACGATAGCGTTCCTCAATAATTTTTTTTAAACAATGATAAAAATTTATCTTATACGGAGATGTGTCGAACAATCTCAAAATAATTATTTCTGTGAAATATGTATTATAATATTGCCATCTTATAAAGGGCTTAATAATTAAAAATATTAAATATATGCAGAGAGAGAAGAACTCTCTTAAAAATATTTTGGTTAAGAATCGCGCACAGGGTGATAAATATACAGGGTGTCCCGCAACGTGATGTCCACACTGAAACTGTGTATTCTTTGTGTCATTCTAAGTCAAAAAGTCTTAATACACATATGCCCTAAAGTCGCTTGTTTCGAAGTTATAGCGAAAAAATGCAAAAGTAGTTATTTCTCACACTAATGCGAGAACAGCGGCGCAAACTAACATCTCTAAAACGACAATTTGGAAAATACTGCGTGATTATGATTTTTTTTTTTTGCGATTCTGTTTTTTCGCTATAACTTTGAAACAACAGACCTTAGGGCATATGTGTATTAAGACTTTTTGACTTAGAATGACAAAAAGAATACACAGTTTCATATGGACATCACGTTGCAGGACACCCTGTATATATGATAAATACTAACCCTCCAATAGCTTGTCGAATCTCTTTCTGATCGGTACCAGCGATCGTGTTTCGTCTCTTTCCTCTTGGTCTGCGTGGCCGCGATCTCCTTTTCACCGCCGTTTCCTGTGTCTCTGGCCCTGACAGCAAGGACTTCCTCCTCATCGACATTCTTGCGAAACCGCGTCCGCTCACATCCACCGCTACGATTTCCGCCGGGAATCTACGATGAAAGCGTACATTTCGGGATCACAATAGGGGAGGCTCATCAATTTGTCAGTGGTACAAACTGAATGGGTCGGCGAAATTAGCATATTAAGCTACATAAAAGAGCAGTGAGACGGACTTTTGGCTTATACATACTTGTTATATTTGTATATAAACTATATAAGACTTCGTCTCTAGTTTTGTAAACTTCTTATGAATAATTCAAGGAAACAGCTATTTTTTCATTCTCAAGTCTTTTCTGGCAATCTTTCAATTTTTATTTTAGTTTTTTAGAGTTGAATCAGTGTGAGATTTCTTAAGATTCAAAGGTAATTTCTTTGTTTTATATTATACGACATATATTGCATTAAATTTTAATAATTAATAATTTAATAATATTTTAATAATATAATAATATAATTAATAATTTAATAATATTTTAATAATTTATAATATAATTTTCTCCCTAAATTATATAATAAAAAAATCTATTTAAAAAGATTTAATGCAGAGATGGCAATGTGTAAAGCAAATGCTAACATTTTCATCCTTTTAAATTATCAATCATTGATCATAATTTCGATGGTGTAAAGACGTTTCTCTATTTTACGCGGCGCGTTTCTACATTTCTCCTCTATCGGTGATCGAACAATGTGTATTGAGATAAAACCGCTTACTTGAGCGCGATAGCCTGAACCTGTTCCTCGGGGCTTGGTAGCTTGTGATCGACGGCATCGTCGCTGGTTGTGTCGCCCAGAATCCTGGACGAACAGTCCGGCGGTACGGTAATGTCGCCGAGAGCCTCGGCGGATGTCCATCTTCGCAGATCTTCGATAGCAGCCGGCTGCAACAGCGTAATAACACGCGCAATAAAGTCACCGCCCTCTCTCTCTCTCTATCAGATACCTTCTTTTGCACGGTTTCTTAAGCCATTTCGTATAATTATCCGTTTACATCATCTAATGTACAGGGTTGGGTAGTAACTATTTAAACTAGTTAAAAGTTAAGTTAAAAAGTTGAAAAGTTAATAACTTTTAACTTAACTTAATTATTTTACACATGTTAACTTTTAACTTAAACTAGTTATTTTTAAATGCATTAACGTTAACTTATTAACTTTTTTTATACAAGTTAAAATAATTCCCCTGCTAATGTAATGTATCTCTTTGAAAAAAGAGAACGTAGGTAAAAAATATTTATAAATTTATTAGAGATTTATGTAAATATATAAATATAAGATTCATAAAATATATATTTAACGACATATTTATAAAATCATAAAAAAATCAGTAATTAACATTATAAAGAATAATTAAATAATTTCACACATTTCGTGAAAGAAGAGAAATATTCTATTATATATCTCTTTCTTTCTCACAATTTATTTTCTATGAGATACTATAAATACAACTCTTTTATTTTATTATTTCAAAACTATATTACATAGTTATCACAAATAATATTTGAAAGATAATTAAATATATATAATAATAAATAATAATAAATAATAATAAATTTTTTTTTATGCCATCGTGTAAAAAAATTGCGCTAGTTTGTACGTATGTTTGCTTGATGTTGCTACATGATCTGGCGCCGTAAGTATACGTAACAAATGATTTCCTTTCCTTCCTTTCTTCTCACAACAAGAGAGAGTCGCCTCCCGCGATTCACCTCGCGGGGAAACTCGACGCCGCGACCGGCAGAGGAGGAAGAAAATGCGAAGCGAGAGACGTTTTAACGCGCGTGGGTGTTAACCATTGTCGTGATGTCACCTCGCCGGGTCGGGCGAGTTTCACGCCCGGAATACGGAACGGATCGGGTTCCGACCGTCTGCTAACTTTTCCACACGATGCACTCGCCCTTGTTCGCGACCGGTCCGTGAAAACGATCGCGTACCGCTATTGCAAGAGTCTTAATCTCGCGCATCTCCCGAGAATTAGAGAAGAAAGCGAGTCCAAAAAGGACGATATTAAAGCTATTTACATCATTCTGACTGAGCTAACTGTAAGTTACAGAATAGAGAAAGTCTCGACTCGAAAAGGTGCCAAATATAATTATTTAAAGTGTGATTTAATAAATGAATAAAAAAATTACTTGTCACTTTAAACATACAATTTGCATTACTTAAGATAACGGCTGTTTCAGTAAACATTAAACAAATTTATGTCTTTTTACGTACAAGCTTGTATCTTAAATGAATTTATCGAATTTATTTATCTTGAAAGTCATCTGTTATTTTGAATCTTCGAAAAGATAATATTTTTTTACTGCTCATTAAGTACAACATTACTGTCACATCATAATTATATCGTAAATGACAATCGCCGTTTGACGTAAACCGGTTTAATATCAGTTCAAGTTCAGGGAAAAAAGATTAACCGCGACACGATTTAACGTCAAATTAGGGGGAAGGGAGAGAGGGAAGCGTTTCTCGGGGAAATTACTGAAACTGCTTTAAAGAAACGGGGTTCGTCCGTAAAAACTCTTCATTACACGGTGAAAGTTAATTACGTCAAATTAAGTAGGCAAGGGGGTCAAATTTAATGTCAGAGTTAATGTCTCAGGTCGGGTATTATTAACTCTGTAACTGTGATCTCTTTGCGTTCAGTCACTCGATACCAGGCAAAGTGCCTTTTAACAACTCGATATTCAATTTCTTTCGCATTTCGCGAAGTCAACGGGAACAATGTAATCGCGGCGATGAACCGAGTATCGTTACGTAATTTATTAAGGGGGCATACCCGTTTGAACCTTCGAAAAATGAGTACATTTTCGAGATTTTCTTTGTAGCGCAACGATTTCATAAAAACTTTTTTCGTAACAATATTGATACAATATTATTAAGTACATAAATAAAAATTTTCAATTTTATTTTAATACTTAAAAAAATTTTTTCTTCTGAAGTTATGCGAATATCTGCAGAACTCCTCCAATTTTTGTGACTACACGGTATGCATGAAAACGTTCGTTTATCATATCCGAAATCAAAAATACAAGTTTTTTTTTTATTAAACATATAATAGCTATCTGTTACCCAAGCGTTTTTTCAAATTTATAAAAAAATAAAAAAATGGCGACATGTTGAAAAAAAATTCGTTTTTAAAAAAAAATTTAAAATTTAATATTTTTTAAAAAATATTTCCATAACTTCTAGAAAAAAATTTTTTTAAGCTGATAATTTTTATTTAAGTACTTAATAATATTGTATTAATATTGTAAAAAAATAAAAAGTTTTTATCAAGTCGTTGCACTGCAAAAGAATCTAGAAAATGTACTCATCTTTCGAGAGTTCAAACGAGTATGCTTCCTTAAGAAAATATAATCACTCGGCAAAAAGATTTTACCGCACGCCAAAGTGGCAAGAAGTGATTAGATAATAACACGTGGCAAAATTGTTACAAGATTCTAGTAAAACATTATATCTTATTCCTCATAAAATTTGTATGTTTTATATTTTATACATTTCAAAGATGCATAGGTTCGCTGATGCGTGGCTAGATTCATATAATTTAATCTATAAAAGATAAAATAAAAGATTCTGAAGATTTATATTTCCTTGAATATCAAAGGATTAACTGTGGTAGAATGGCATGAGTCCATATTATGTATGCATGTAATATAATTAACACACACACACAAACTATAATTTATGAAATCTTTATAATAATTTCCGAATAATAAAAAAATTAATTGCTATATTAGATGACATTAGAATTAAAAGAAAACAAATATGAGGTTAATAAGACAGATAGATAGAGATAGGAATACTTACGACTCTGGACTCGATGTCGAGGCTGTGATCCCGCCGCCTCTTTCCAAGGACGGGTGTACAGAGGAACATATCCATCGAGCTGCCATCCCTCCTCAAGGAATCCAAACTTCGGACGGCGACTATGGCAGCGAGCTCGTACAGTTCCCTCAGGGCTTTCGGCCTTGTGTCCGCCGTGAACAGTCCCGTCGATGGTTTATTCGTGACGTGAAAATGTTCCGTCCTCGCCGCGAAAGTGCAGATATCCGATTCCGCTGTAACACAAAGAATACGAAGAGTTTAACTACCGCCTTGTCGCCAAACGAGTAGAATATCGATTTGATAGTTTGTTGATAGTATCAATCTATTTTAAACATTATATTATATTGAAGACAATTCATGATTATATTCGTTTTAAATATTTGCAAACATGTACAGTATTTTTTAAAAAAGAGAAGGAAAAAGATTTATCGTGATAAAAAAAAAAAAAAAAAAAAAAAAAAAAAAAAAAAAAAAAAAACAACAGGGAAAAAAAAAAAAATATTAAAAAAAAAAAAAAAAAAAAAAAAAAAAAAAAAAAAAAAAAAAAAAAAAAAAACAGTAACGAGCAGGAAAAAGAATGTCTCGCGCGCCTCATATCAAATTTAAGAGGCGTTCACGAGGCGCGGTCTTTTTTCTTCTCTCGTGGCCGTCCCATAATGCGGCATTTTAACTCCGTAATATACTTTTTGCCGGTCATGTGTGGCGGGTGATATCACGCCGCTGACATATCTTAACTGTAAACATGTTCCATTCACGGTTTCTTGCACCGCATCGCATGCAGGCGCACAGGCATGGAATCAGTAAAAAAAACTTAACTCATGCCACCCGCGCTTCGAGGGGCACGCTTGATTCGACGTTTCCGGTTGTTTTCAGAAACGGTTTCTTCCGTGACGAAGCCGGGGCCTTAATTTCCGACAATGAGGCCCTTCCTAGTGTTTTTAACTACACGTCTAGGCACAATGATCTCATAATACATACAAATTATAAAATAACAATTTATTTGAAAAAAAATTAAATTATAATGGATAATAAATCTTGAAATTGATTTTTTTAGTCTTTTCGGAACAAGATTGTTTAGAATAACTTTTATTATTAATTAACAGCGCGTGCGAAATTTTGTTATATTTATTTATTATTATTAATATTTCCTTCCCTTTTGGAAGTTTTTCTATAGTACTTTATATTTCAGATAACATCTTTAATTTTTAAATATACTAATACTTTTATCAAACGTTCTATCTATACAGAGGGATGCAAAAAATCGTGTAAATTCACGATACACATACACAAACATCTGAAATATATGAATTGGGTGATGGATGAGTCATAACGTCTGACTTGCGTTTTTATCGCCGAGGTGATTGTCGATCGTAGAACAATGAAATCCCGTAAACACCTTTATACTCACCGACAATTAGTTTCGTTATATAGTGGGATCCTTAATTGCTGACTTTTTTTAGCCAGTTTTTCTCGCCCGGCGATATACACGGCCCTTTGACAATACATAGCTCACGTCTCTCTCACCGTGCTATGAAATGCTTCCATTATCACGTGCTTCTTGTGTTTTCTCCCGTTGTTCGCGTTTTGTTTCGTACAATACCGCGAGGGGTTAATCATCATCGGTCCTACACGCGATAGGGTACGTACACCCCTTTAGAATTCCGTCCCGAGTCTCTCCGTGAATTCGCTGCATCTATTATAACGCTCGATTCGCATGCTTGTTTTGCGCTCCGATGCTATGATAAAAAAAGCTATTCCGCAGAATTTAATATTAATATTACAGTACTAATTAAAAATTAACTTACGAATTAGAAAATTTTATAATTTTTTCTTATTGAAATATATTTATAGAGAAATAAAAAAATTTTATGTACACGATACACACAATTCTCCAATTTAACAAAATTATTATAAATTTAGAAGTTAAAACTTTACAATCTTAATTTACTGAGATTGATAAATTTAAAAAAATGTTTAAATTTGGATCTATAAAAATGGAAAAACTTGACGATGGATTTAAATAAAAATTTCGATATATATTTTATGTTTTCAATCCCTTGGCGTTCACGCTCCAAATGGCTTCTGGAATACTTCGGCATTAAGAGTTAAGCTAACGGTTCATTACGCAGCAAGGTAGTAATATCGCACGACCGCTCCGGGCACATTTATGCCACAGTGTATAAACAGAGTGATGCGAGTACATGCGGCCCGCAAGCGAGCGGGAGAAAGACCCGCCTGTACTTCGCCGAGCCGCCGAGTCCGATTCGATACAATCGTCCGTGGAGTATTTCTTACTAACCGTCTGTAACCTCGGAAGCCGATGCACATAACTACACGGCGGGTACAACCTTCCGAGCGGACGAGAGTGGAGGAGATCGACCTTCCATCGTGATGTTCTGCAATCTCATCGCGAGCGCGAATAATCGAGAACTGAGACCGAAGCTCTGTTCCAGCATTCGGATTCCCCTAAAAAATTATCTTCGTGCAAACGCTATTTTTTGTCATTTTTACTAATTGCTTTTCCAATCAATATCCATTGTTAAAGTAATCATTACTTTAAAATCAAGTAAAAATTGCATTTTTACCCTTTTTCATTTAAATTAATGCAAATTAATGAAAAATGCTAACATTTTCATAAACTCTACAATATTTACAAGTAAAAAGTATCCCAATTACTCGTGCAAAAGGCCGAAGCAAGTGTATTTTAAAGTGCCGACTTTTCTCTTTAAATTGCTTTTTTAATGATCATTGTGCGATAATTTTTTCACTAATTATGAACGCTCAAAGTTAATAGATTGATTTTACTTCAGTAGTGAATAACTCGGCGATAAAAAATCATAGGACATTCATTAAAAATGCAAATTAAAGATAAAACTTTGCTCTTTAAAATCCATTTAACGAAATTGTGCTACAATTTCCTTTTTCTTCGGCACTCTTTGACAAACTTTTGAAAAATTTATTCAATCGACGGACGTCGCTTTTTCATAATATAATTTTGTAACAAATAAAAAGAATTGGAATCGACTAAAAGATTCTGAAACTAGAAACTTCAAGCTTTGTTTTTTTATTCATCTCAATCCGATTATATGCGACAAAGTTACAGCCACTTGAAAATTGCCTTTTCTGTAGAAGGAAGAAAGTGGTCCCTTTAGTTTTTTGCGCAATATATTTTAATAAGGAAAGATTATTAAATTTTACAATTCACAAGTTTATTAATTTTAGCTCTGTAATATTAAAAGGCAAAGCTTTACGAGGCAGGTCATAATTCTGTGTAATAGGATAAAAAACGAGATTAAATAATTAATTCTTATTTTCTAGAAAACAGATTTTACTACAACTGCGTGATGAATAGCTTACAAGAGATTGCAAAAACTTATGTTTTAACTGTTCGTTTTAACTGTTTGCGAAATCTTGCTTTCTCATCGGTTCGCACGACTCTTACAGTCGAATATTAGCAACGCGTATCACTGGCGAAACTGATATTGTCATTCAGGCGCGAAAATAAAACATTAGGGAACGCTGTTTCGATTGTCTGAAGAAAACACAGCGTTCCTAGATCGCTCGTTGGCTGAGAATGCGCTTGGATGGGTTTCCTAGCTTGAGATCTCGTCTCGATAAACTCACGGCGAGCGGCATTAAGCGCGTCACGGTTGTTAGTAAAAGAGGGCCGGACTCGGGAGATTTTTTACAGACGCCAGAAGAGAGCAAGTTACGAGTCAAGGCCGGCTGCACAGGTTGCTCGGTCATGAGAATAGAAATATGAGCGGGATAGACCACTATGGCTACATGGTTCGTACGTAACAGTCGCACACCTGAGTAAGCACTGCCCCGATCTCGCAATAATAGGCCTCGATCTAGTTGTAGTAGTTTCTCACAAATCAGCACGATCCATCGTAACCGCGGCCGGCACGAGCTAATTACAATAGTAGTAACTTGGCAACGACGTATGGGGTCCGGGAGGTAATGATTGAATCGCTTCAATGCGCTCAGCTTCAAGAACCGTGAGGTAAAATTTGTCGGTAAGAAACGCGAAATTTTATTGAGTATCCTCTGTCGCGAGTCTTCTGGAAAGCGTTTCAAAGAGCATGTATCATTTTATAGCGTTTTTGAGTGAAGCAGGTTTGAAATCGCTCTGAGAGATTTAAACCCAATTTATTATGAACATATGTTTGACCGAAAATGGGTTTTTAATTTGATTAATATAAATAATATATTAATAATATATATAATATAAAGTACATCCTGTTTAATGCTATTTAGAGTACAAGATTCTTTGCCCTGATTAATCGATCAAACGGTAACTTAAAATATTTCATTGATTAATCTAATAATCCAGGTATGTCTAGTAACCTAAGACGGAGTTTATGACATCATTAATCGCTCCCAGAGCGATCAAACTTGCTTCACTCGAAAACGCTATTAGATTACTGGATTCGATTATTTGTGAAATTTGCCAAACGATTGTTTATTTAATTATCATTGTATGGATTTATACAATTTCAAATAAATTTTACTATAATATTTTTATAATTTATATGGTTACGAGATTTTTAGAATCTAATAAATTTGAAAATTGCAAACTTGCTGCTCAAGAAAAATATCGATGACTTTATATCCACGAATAAATGATAGAGGTAACTCGCACAAGATTCTGAATACTTACATTTGGAAACTGTGAAGGAAAAAGAGATATAGAAATTCTATTTATCTTTTCATCCTATTCTCCTCACTACACATTCTCCTTCCTCTTATTTCTCTGTAACATCTCCCCGAATCTCACGTATAATTTCGTCTTTGCGAGAGTCATGCTGTAGTTTCGCAACATCCGGTGGATCTCTCTCTTGAATCTCTCGACTCTCGACTTCACCGTCAGCGAAAGCGTGGAATCGTCGTCGATCGCGAGAGAAGTAAGTTCGACGAATCGAGAGACAAGTCGAAAGAGAACAAAGAGAGAGAGAGAGAGAGAGAGAACAGGAACATAGACAGAGATAGACAAGAAGACGACGACGAAGAAGAAGAAGGAGGAGAAGAAGAAGATGGCCAAGAGGAGAAGGACGAGGGAGGAGGGAGCAGGCAGATCCCAATGGTGAAGAGCCGGTCGACCCGTGGGAGGTCCGCTGTAGCCGATGAGCCTCGGTTGTGCAAAGTGCCCCGAAGGGCCGCTCGCGCGGCCCTTCAGAGGGACCGACAGACGGCTCACCGGTTGCTCCAGCCTCCTCGCGAGCAACGGCTC